CACACACACACACCACCCTCCCTATCCTCCACTCTTACCCAGATCTTTGCTCTGCAGAGGTTTTTGATACAAACACCATAGTCACATTTTATTGATACAATATGATGTTTTTGTTTTTCTCCTCATCTGTCCTTATGTGGTTTTTAGTTTTTCTGTTAAGGGTTGTGCCTCCTCATGATGTCTTCATGACAGTGTTGTTTTTGACTGCCATTTTAATTTTAGTCTTAGTCTTTTGAACAAAAACACTTCTTAGTTTTAGTCATTTCTATATTTAATGGTTTTAGTCGAGTTTTAGTCGACAAAAACTTAAAAAATTGTTTAGTTTTAGTCTTAAAAAAAGACAACATATTAGTCTTTACAAATAAATTTGAGTAATTTGTGTTAACATTTGTGAATTTGTGTTACTCTAAAAATGCCTAAAACCAAAACATTCTCACTTTGTGGCTTTATTTCTCAGAATTTGCTAAAGTGCAGTGAACATACACAATACACAAACCCAATATGATAAGCAATAAAGGGGAACAAACATGTTCAACTCAAACTTGTCAGCCAGGACCATGAAGATGCCTCTTATTTATAAAAACGGACATCATGCAGTTCTAATAAACTTAGTAGACTATTAAACTTGTGCAAACGAGTGTTTACATGCACCAGGCTTTTATTCTGAAAAGAAGTGCTGACATGCGCAGTTGCTAACTCCCCCCCGCAAAAAAAAAAGTTTTACTTTCGTCATGAACGTAAACAAACAGCTTCTGAGCTCAGAACGGACCTGCGACAGCTTTTAATGGTGGAGATGTTACTCCCTGGTTAAACTACAGGTGATGAACGGATTTTTTTTTTTTTGTGAAGCGGCGCAGGCTGTGAGAGAATGGGAGGAAATGTTGTGCTGCTGTGTGTGTGCGTGTGTGTAACAGCGCTGCTGTCCCTCCCACCACTCTGCATTCTAAATGATTGACAGACCACCGACTAACATTTTCGTCCAGTCTCGTCTCGTCAACGAAAACTCACACACGTTTTGTCAAGTCTTAGTCATCAAAGACTCATGTTTATTTCGTTACCGTCTCATTATCGTCGTAAAAAAAAGGGGCGTCAATGAAAATATTTCGTCATCATTGACTAAAACAACACTGGTTCATGATGATGATCCTTGCTCTGTGCAGGGTCTGTGGCTGCATGACGTGGGGGCACCTGTTCTCCTATGTTTGTTATGTTCTGTCTTCTTCTGAATGGATGTTCTGAACTGTAATTTCATTGTGCTCTGTACAATGACAATAAAGTTTTATTCAATTCAATCTGTCCCCAAATGAATAAACAACAAAGAAAATAAATGTTCCATCACATACATGCCACCTCCCAACAGGTTAGGGTGATTTTTTTTATGTAAGGCGAGTGTTTTTACCTGAATCTGTGGAAGGATGGACAGCACAGAGGCTGCGATGCAGAGCAGCAGGTTGATGCTGATGAACACCTTGTTCTCGGTGCAACCATCAGAGTGGGTGTAGTAAATGTAGAACAAGACCAGAGAGACCAGAGACAACAGGTAGTTCAGGGTTGTGACTGACAGCAGAGCTGTGGAAACAACACAACTTATTTTAGACAGAAGCTTCATGGTAATACAACTTATTTAACAGTTTGTCTTGTCTACGAACTGAAGACATATTATTTTATTCAACATGAACAAATAATGATGCTTTATGTGTCGTCCACACGTCATACCTGCATACCAACACCGAGAGTTTCCCTCCTCCATCTTCTCCAACCACGACTCGTTCCAGGAGTGAGCCAAGTCGATGAGTAGAACCAGCTGGATGAGGATGAAGCAGAAGGCTCCTGCCATGCCGATGTAGAACCAGACTGCAGGACAAAACCATGTTTTCACTTCAACCAGCCTGTCAGACAGCTCAACACTTCACTGCATGGAGAACAAGCAGCAGGAAGGGTTACCTGTAGTGAAAGGGCCTTCTGAAATAAAAAAAGATCCGATGGTGATGGCAGCAGCAGCAGCAAACTTGAAGAACCAAAACCTGCAAAAAAAGAAAAAATAAAAACACGAAAAACTCAACTTGACAAAAAATAAATGAATAAGTTTGTAGTGTTGGCTCTTAATACGGGCAGTGCTAATCCAAAAATTAGCTCCGCAATTTCTAAAACGCTTATGAAAATATTTAGGTCCGCAACTTCAAAAACGCTTATGTCATGGAAAACTAGCGGAAGCTAATTTTAAAGTGCAAGTTCAATTTGACACGTAATATCTGACAATTCATGTACAATATATGTACAACACTGCCAACTAGCGGTGTATGAATCCTTGTACAGCTTAATCCTACAACCGCCGATTGCTGGGGATATGATTTCATGAAACAGACCTTTAGCTC